TTTTCGTTATGCTTTATGCAAAAGTCTGTGCTCCGGGCCATATGGAATAGAGGGACGGTGCACAAGCTGTACCGTGGGAGCACGTTTGCGGCGGGGGGGGGGGCCGCCATATTCGTTTAATAATCACCACACATAGAACTCACTATTTGCGTATATGTGAGAAATGAAAGTCAGATCCTGCGCACAATAAACAAAATAGGAAATAGAAATAGAAATAATTATTAAATATTAGAAATAAGAAATTGGAATTATTTATTTAAAAATAAAAGGAATAGAAAAAATTAATGCATAAATTAAGAAATAAGAATTGGAACTAATTAATATATTTTATTCTCTTGTTAGATGTAAAATAATTTCTCTCTTTAATATTAAATGTTTATTGCTATTTCTAATATTTTGTCTACTGTATGCAGAGCCTCAGAGTAATAAAAGTTAAAGTATTTTATAAAATTTATAATACAACAATAATAAAATCGCCTAATCTCTTTATGCTTGTCACTCGTTATGTCTAGTGGCACCACTACACGAGTGTAACCATGTCACAGACACAGAATCTATGTGTGAGAATCGTTACATCAATATGGCGGAAAGCAGTCCCCCCCGCACGCTTGAGTTACCATCCCCTCTCGCCTAAACTAGGACTTTAGACTCAGTCCCTCTATTCCTTAGTCCGTGAGTGAAACGGAACGTTTTCTATGTAATTCGTGCGCATAATGTGCGAAACGAAACGCAACCAATGTAATCTTTAAGTGTTTACATACAGACGTTTCGGCCTGCCATCAGGCCTTCTTCAATGTACAATAAATTAATAAATAACAGTGATATTCGCAAAAATTACAAAAAAATTACAAAAAAATTATGAAAGAAGTAATCGCAATCTTTTTTCGACCATATTGCAGTTCGTTAATAGTATAGGACTGCAATATAAGAAAATAAGTTGATAGTAGAAAAAGGTAAAATACAAAATAATAAAATAAACTTAAAAAATAAAAATTGAAACATACTTGTGTTAATACAAATGGAGAAGCGCTCGCTCGAGTAAACGGGGCGAGGTGGAAAAGTTAAGACCAAAAGACTTTCCATGTTGAACTTCAATATAATAGTGAATGTAATGAGTCAAAATTTTGAAATAACGATTGACCGTAAGAAGGGAGAAAAAAGGTGGAGGGAAGAGGGACGTGGAGAAGGAGAATTATTAGAGGGCAAAAAGTGGGGAGAGAAATTTAAAGAGGAGGAAATAAATTAATAATCGGAAGATAGGCAACTGGTAAATGGTCCGTATCATTTTGATTATTGAGCCCTCCATTTTGTCTTTTGATAAAAATCATTTCAGAGATGAGTCTTTTGGGGTAAGAGGGTTCACCGTCTAATACTTTCACGTTATTCCAATCAAAGTCATGGGAGGAGTCGATTCTATGCTTGGAAATGATCGAAGGAGAACTGCATGTCTTATTGATGTCGTTTTTATGTTCTCTTATTCTAGTGTTAAGTTGTCTCTTAGTCTGTCCAACGTAAGTCATGTTGCAATCAAGGCATGGAATCAAATATACGACCTGACAATGTGAGAATTTGTCTAATTTGTCTTTTCCTGTTTTAATGAAACATTTTAGGTTGCTCGGAATTGAGCAAGCCAATTGAAAATTAAATGTTCTAGTTATTGAATTAAAATCTTTATGTAAAGGAGATATGTAAGGAATGGTTAAAAAAGTCTTTGTGAGTCATTTTTGTCATCGTCCTTATTAGGGTTAGTTGAAAAATCATTAATTTTTTTGTTATGCAATAAAAACTTAAGTCTATGATGAATGGTTGAAAATATAAAATGTAAAGGATAGCAGTTATTTAGTAAAATGTTAATAATCGAGGTGATATTCTTATGATGGAATTTGGGATGGGAAAGTAAAAAGATCCTGTCTATTAAACTTATAATTGTATCTTTCTTGTGTGAGATGGGATAGTGGGAATGAAAATTCAAATATCTACCAGAAGACGTAGGTTTTTGAAACCAGTCAAACGTGATTCTATTGTTTTCGTAGATTAAAGTCACATCAAGGAAGCTAATACGATTGTTAGAGCCTAATTCGACTGTAAATTTCAATCTGTTGTGATAAGAATTGAACATGTCAGTAATTAAATTTATAGAATTTGTAGGAGCAGCTAATATTATGTCATCCACGTATCTAAAATAAAAAGGCAACTTGAAAGGCAACCTATCATCAATCGCACTAGCCTCTAGGTCCTGAAGTACAAGATCGGCAATTAAAGGAGACAAAGGAGACAAAGGAGAGCCCATAGGAGTACCAAACGTTTGTTTGTAAATTTTATTGTTGAAACAGAAAAAAGTGGAACTCAAAATAAAGCGTATCGCCTTAATAAATTCATCGAAGGGGATGGAGGTGTTTAAAGAAATTAAATCCCATCTATCAGTAAAACGTCTGTATGTAAACACTTAAAGATTACATTATAAACTTCGCACGTAGACCTAGCATTTTGGCTCTTTATACTCCTTATTATAATTGGTCTCTACAATCTTCTATATTAAATCTTATTGTATTTTATTTTACTTTAATATAGCAATTCCTTTCAATTTACAACTTTAAACAAGAGTTGTATATAGAAAACTAGTTAGTTAAAATGTCTACGATTGGAAAAAATGCAAGAAATTAATCATTGTAGTCAGCAAAGGAGAGAAGTCGACAGTGATTTATTATCGTACAATGATTGACTTTATTGATATTTTAACTAATTTTCCTACTGTTAAAGGAATAGAAGTTATAATAAGGACTTTTTTTAATGTCTCCAAGTGCTTATATTTTGTATCTAAAATTTGATCCCAGGACTTTGTTCAAGTTTACTTATTAAATTGAAGTACTTGAAGAAGCTAAGACAGTGATGCAAACTCGAAACCACTGGCACCATGGCACCGCGACAGAGAAAGCACGCACACAAGTGAAAATTGCCTACGTCACGTGTCTGTATGCGCTCAGCTGTTCAGTTACCGGTACACGGACGCGTGACGTAGCGATTTTCACTTGTGTGCGTGCTTTCCCTATCGCGGTGCCACGGTGCCAGTAGTTTCAAATTTGCATTACTGAGCTGAGAAATAAATCCTTCTCATAACTTCTATTACTTTAAGGTCCGGTTTCACAACATACGGTTCAAGCGAGTTAAACTTCGGTTAACGTTCTTAAACTCGATTTTGATTATGGCTAACCCGTTGATAAACTAAGGTTTACTAGTTATAGAACTGACTACCGTTATAAAACTGACCTATTACAAATGTTAATAGTATAAAAAAAAGCAGTATATACTGATAGCAGTTGTAAGTTTTATTCTGTGTTTCTTCTTTCTAGTACTTTTCTCTTAAAACAAATTTCCATGGCCAATGGCAAATTGGCGAATGGAAAAAAAGTTTTAATTCATGCAAAACCTTCAAATTCTCTTTATTTCAAATGTTTTAGCTTTACAATAATTATATATAATTAGAGAAAAGTGAAAACATTTAGAATAAAAAGAATTTCATGGTTTTCCACGATTTAAAACTTTTTTTCCATTAGCCAATTTGGTATTGGTAATTATAAAAAGCATATATACAACAAATAAGTACGTACTATATGTAGTATGCATACTAATAGAACATTTGATTTTCAGACTTACCTGGTTCGCCACAACTCGATGATACGGAGAAGCAATCCCCAACGAGGAATCATGGAAATTGCTGTAATAAGCCAATATAAACTTCTTACAGGGAAATATTACTGATTATTTTTTAGCAGTTTTCGACTTTTTATATATATATAATGTCTCTTTCTTGTTAGTATTATATTTTAATTATTATAGTGGAGGATATTTCAATTTTTCTCCAATAAATATATTTGCGATTGAAAAGCTCGTAATAAAAAAATTATTTTAAGTAAATACATATGACAAACTCACTCATGTTCCTATAAGAATAATGATGATGTCGATAATAGTAATCGTGATAACAGACGGTTTGCACTTCATTAAAATATAAACAGTTATTAATATTTCAATTTTTATGTTACAATTTCTTCATATCTTTACAGGCGAATGCAGAGAATACTTCCGCAAGGAACTGAAACATTTGTCCAGGCAAATGTACGCGATTGAAGCTCTACTAAAAGAGAATACAGCACGTGGTCGATGCGATGAGGCAAATAAAGTAGTTGCAGACGATCTGTTACCTCCGTTGCCTCTGATGACACTTCAACAGTTTTTTCATTGTGAAACTCAGTTGAAAGTGAATACCGAGATGAAAAAACAATTTGTAAGTATATTTATATTGTTATATTTATCATATTGCTTGTAATGTCTGTTAGAAAAATTTTGTTTTCTAGTATCAGAAATTTATTCGTCATCTTATGACTTTTTAATTTCGTTACATTAAATTCGATTCTCCACAGTTTCTCTGCAATTTCTCTGCAATTTCTATGTTATTTCTCTGTCAATTGTCTTAAGTTTCTCTGCAATTTCTCTGCAATTTCTCTGCAATTTCTATGCAACTTCTCTGTCAATTGTCTCAAGTTTCTCAGCAATTTTCTCTGCAAAGGACCGCACAAATCTTATGGAAAGTGACTCCCGATGAAATTCGCTGAAATTGTAGTATGTTATAGTCCTTGATGTTCTGATTAAAAGTCTCAATGAGCACAAAGCTTGAAAACCAATAGTTTTTCGTCTAGAGATGTTTGAAGTCCTAAATTTTTGCTATGCCGTAATGACATAGCTGTGATATAATGCCAGACTATATGTGTGTGACTGTGTATGGATATGTGTCTGTGTATGTCGTGTGTTGTTATGTGCCGCAACTTATAGTTTCTTATATTACTCTTTTTATTCGAACCTTTGAACCTTTTTTATCTTTACTTCTTCTTGATCCTAAACACATGACCCTTCGATGACTGCAATAAACATAAACGCTATCCCTACGCCTAACGCATATTTTCCTTTTGACAAAACCGCTTCCTTCCAATAAACATTCCGCCGCTACGATTTTCCTACAGCACCTTAAACGAAGATCTTTCTCGCCAGTTTAGTTCTCGATCAAAGCTCAAACCAGCAACACCGAATAAAGACTTTTTCCACAAACGTGTCCCGACTTATTCTAAATAATCTATTACGTAGCTATACGCTCGTAACAGTGTGTGGGTGTGTGAGTAGTGTCTGCCTGTATGTGGGTGTGAGCATGTGTGTTCTGTATGTGTGAGTGGATGTGTGCGTGCGAACACATCCTCACAGACACACCCAACCCTCCCCCCCCCTCCTACACAAACACAAAAAGCAGCAAACAAACAGACACACACATAGTCCGGCATTATATCACAGCTATGTCATCACGGCATAGCAAAAGTTTAGGACTTCAAACATCTCTAGACGAAAAACTATTGATTTTCAAGCTTTGTGCCCATTAAGACTTTTAATCAGAACACCAAGGACTATAACATACTGCAATTTCAGCGAATTCTATCGGGGGCTACTTTCCATAAGGTTTGTAAGGAGTCCTTTGTCTGCCTTTTCTCTGCAATTTTGTCTTTAATTTCTATTACAGGAACACGTTATATGTCGAATTGGAGGTTCAACGGGTAAGCAGTTCGTTAGAAATACTCTACCACAGATTGTCTCTAATGAACTGGGTACTCAGATGTCATGGACAGGTCAAAAGAGTGGTGTAGGCTTTAAATCCACATCCATATGCAAACTTATAATCGGTAACGCACCTATTCCATTACACCTAAACTTTCCTATGGGTCCTATGGGACTTTCCTTTTACGAAACAAATGCACAGATGGAGTGTGCATTTCGTAAAAGGAAAGCACCTTATATAACAACAAGGTTTAGGATATTTTTGTAATGTTAGAAGCACCATAGCATTTTGCACATAATCTTCGTAGCGTCCATGCAATTTGTGGTAAATGTTATTTAAAAATACCGATGAGCTAAACATAAGACTTTATACCAAAGTATAAAGGCCCCTACAGCTTGCGAATATTTTTAACAAGTACTATTTTGTGAATTACACGAATGCAAAGATTACATTCAAAATTAGATTTGTTTGTAAAATGTCTACTGCTTCTGACATCAAATAAATGTCCAACTACACATATATAGCGTTTTCCCTTAGGACTGCACGAGTGCAGTGTTTCCATAAGGATAAGGTCTGTTTTTTATAGCTGAACTGGCTGCACTAGTTCAGAGTTTATTTTTCTCCTTCCAATGTGGAGGCCTATAATGTTAAAATCTACACTGCCTTCGTGCAAATTTTAACATTGCTCTTATAGAAACATTGCACGAGTGCAGTTCCAAAGAAAAACGCCAATTTACACTACATAATCCTCAAACTTTATCAAACTCAATCTCATCTTTAATTACATATATGTGAATATCATGAGAATAAAGGTGCGATAAACAAATAAGAGTCGAGGTCGCCAAACTTAAAAACACATATTGCTTTATATTTAATTGGTTAAATTATTATATTTATTTTTTAATGCGATTTAAATTATGTATTTCAGATTCGGTGATGAAGCAGCTACCAGCTTCGACATCTGCGGAGCTAGAAGCTGCCATTCAAGAATGGCTCCGTCGCTCAGGCGATCGAATAAGACACATTAAACAAGGCACATTAAACAAAAACAATCATATTTAGTATGTATCTTATATAATAATAAAAAATTTTCATTTTGTTAACGTAATATTGTAGAACAGTTTTAATTTTGATATTATAACCTCATATATATATAAATTATTAATGTTATAAATATTATTATTATTTGTTCAATGGCATAAAGTATTACAGATTGTATTATTTTATTGATTTGAAAATGAGTGTGGTATTAAAAACATTTGTATATTATAATTATTTAAATAAATATAATTAAAATGATATATATATATATATATTCTAAGTATATACACTCATTTTTTAATTAATAATACAATCTGGACTATTCTAACAAAAACAAAGCCTATTTTCCCGATTTAAATATTCCCGCCATTACAAGGTGCGTATGCGCAGTAATAATCCGAGAATGTCGGTATGATGGTTGACTGAAGTCGGCTTACAGTCATCTTCAAAGTGGGACATTGTATGACTTAGAGACGTCTTTAGGTCGTTTAAAGTCGACTTGAGGACGTTCACTTTCTAGACGTCCAGCAGCCATAGTCGACTCAGAATCGACTTAGAGTCGACTCTGTGCTGTTAGGGAACCAAAGAGGTGAGAGGCAATTATAATGCAAGTTTACGAACATAACCTTAAAATATTTTAAGCAAAATAATTTAACAAGTACATAAAAAATAACAAAAATATTACAAAAATTATATACAAACACTATCTAGTTCTTACACTTTATTCACTATTTTGTGAAATAAAACTTAAAGGAAAAAAGGATTACCTTCGATATCAGTAAAACCTCGGATACGTGGTGTTGCGTGGTGTCACTTGATACCGGGCAAGTGGGAAAAGGAATTACGTATGTAAATGGCGCAGGTTAGTGCTGGTCTCGTCAAACCTGAGAGTATACGCGCGCGATAGAAGTGCGTACGTATCACTTCCGTACGTTTGAGTCAAACCTGAGATTATACGTGTGCGAAAGAAGTGCGTACGTATCACTTCCGTACGTTTGAGTCAAACCTGAGATTATACGTGTGCGAAAGAAAACCGAATAATACTGCAAAAGATATTATAGGATTGATCTCAGTATTTAACGGATAATCACAGTAGAATGAGTATGAAAATGGGATGATACGCAGGATATCGTGTGCTGTTAGGGTAGGGCTAACGCCGCCGAGCGTTAGGAGCGGCGCTATCCAATTAATGTTAAAAAAGTTTATAAAAAATATTTTTTTCTTTAATAGTAATAGTATCTTATAGGTAACGTGGAAATCTATTAAAATATTTCCACATAATAAATTTAAAAATAAAAAAAATATTTTTAATAAATTTTTTTAACTTTTAATGATCAAGGGAGAAGAACCTAACATTTATCGGATAGCGCCGCTTCTAACGTTCGACGGCGCTGGCCCTTGTGGCTGCCGCGCGCGCAGTAAGATGAGGAAAAGAGGCGTATATCACGAGAATCGGCCGAAAAGATAAAATAATTCTGAGCTCTGACTTATAATATTAAGATTTAAGGATTTCTGGTTAATTTTTTATATTTCTGAATATTAATTATAATAAATTTAAAATTAAAAAATGTATTATTATCAAACTAAAAAGACATTTTACAAAATGTAGTATACAACAACAAAAAAAGTTATGAAACGTTTTATGGCAATGTATATGTTAACACTCAAAATATTAACGAAAAAATATTAACAAAATATTAACTTTAATGGAAAGTTCGGCGTGAGTTACCGGTGGCACACAAAACTTATTTACACGGCAAAAATGTTAATAATTGTCTTACATGTACATAATCTTGCAAATTGTAGCTAACTGTTTTTTTATTTCTGAAGCATACGGATGGCTAACGTTCAAAATACGAGGTTAAGTACACCTAATATTGCAATACACATAACAAACACAAAGAAAAAATTATGCGATAGAAGCTTCCCACACAGAACATGACATCCAATGGACATCCATATAATCTCCATAACTCCATACTACATCTATCTCTACGATGGATATTAGATAGATTTCTATTAGAAATCCATATTATCTCCATGAGAAATGACGTCTATAAATCCATCATAGATGTCTATTAGACATCTGTTTATTATCGATGTTTGATAGAAGTATCAGTATCCATAGTAACAAATATTGTTAGGGCATCGTCGATGTTAAATCGCGTTGCTATGCGCTTCTTTCTTTTCCGAGCTGTAAACTGTGGTGGAAGGTGGACTGTTATAAAATATTATATTTTTTGTATTTAGTACAATTATAGTACACACATAAAAATGAGTAAATAATATAAAAAACTCGAAGTTTAAACTCGCAAAAATTAAACCGATGGAGTAGCAGAAGGATATCAAGCCAAAGAAGATTGTGGTTCTTAGAATTTTTTATTTTAACAAATGTTTCTCATAAGTAGCAAACGTTTCGGCTGATCATTCTCCCATCTTCAGTGCTTACGTTGTAAATCTGTTTAGTAGAAATATTGTGGTTTCGACTGTCTCACAGTCAAGAACATGGTGACATTCTGTTAACACCTACATAAACAAAACTATCTCGCAATCACATTTGTGACTTTACTTCCAAATAATTTTATTAATGACGAATTGAAACTACAATCCATCAAAGCTCTATGAAATATCTATGGAACATCTATGATTGCTCCATATGATATCTATGAATATATCTAATGGATGTCGAATGGAGGTATGTAATGCGGAACTGTGGATGTCTAGTAGACATCTATAAGAAATTACATGGACATCTAATAGAGGTTTCGGATCTACATAATGGACATCTCTAGTGGATATCCATTAGAGGTTTTTGTTCCGTGTGGGTTGCTTCAATAAGATTTATGGATCTGATTATCAGCGACAAAGAAAATTCTAAGCTAGGAAAAAACATACCTGAGAATGGTATTGCGCACTACCCAGTAAACATTCGATATCTTATGTATATACATAAAATATCCATAATGTGAAAAAAATGTACTATACCATATATACTATGTACATACATATGATATACGCTGATGTAGATACATTTGTGGATATACATAAGATATCTTATAGATATACATAGAATGTATATTCGAACGAGATCGCTGCCTGTATATAAATACCCTGGTGAAAATAAAATGTAAAACAAGCGTTAACAAAGCGTAAATTGGAGAGTAAATCTAATGTAAAGGGAGAGTGATGGAAGCGTAAACAAAATATCAAATAAGCGAAAATTGAGACATCGGGACGTAAAGAAAGTGGTTATTAAGCGTTAAAAAAGCGTTAACAAAGTATCATTAAACTCTTCGACAAACGTGAACAAAACATTCTCGAATGTAAATGGAGCGTTATCGAGCTCCTGAGGAAGTGTTAACAAAGGGTCATCGAGGTCCCCGGCAGGTTCTTAGCAAATGTGAACGAAAAATAATGAAGCGTTATTAAAACGTTATTGAAAAGTAAAAAGGCTCATCTATATAAGATGCAGGACGCGGGTTGCAGATCGCAAGATTAGACGCAGTGACGTATTTTCGGTAGTTTACAGTCGCAGGCTTCAATACGCAGGACGCACAGAAGTTTTGAGGTTCCCAATTTGCTGCGTCTAATCTTGCGATTTGCGATCCGCGTCTGCTTCTTATACAGATGAGCCTTAAAAAATTAAAGTAAATAAATAATAATAAATAAAAATATTTTATTTTTATTGTTTTATATTTTTATTTTTTTTTACAATATTTGTAAAATATTTTATTAATATATATATTTTAGTTAGAATTAGAGACCGGACCGGAACCGGAAAAAAAGTAAAAAAAATACTGCAAATAATATTTAACTGATAAAAAAAATAGTCAACTGCAGAAAACATTTTGTGTTTGTTTATTTACTACAAAACGATTACGGTTCTGAGTAATTCCGGTCCGAGTCTGATTATATTTAAGATATTTAAGATGTCTTGATGTGTGTTCATATATGATTATGTATCTGAAAAAAAAGAACGAGCAATTAATCAAAGAATAAAACTATAAATATTTTAAAAAAAGTACAAATCAAGTTTATTATGTTTAAATTATTATTACTTTCAATTGAATCGATATCTTGAAATTTGGCAAAGTTTGATTTTTTGTTCTTAAATACCAATGGCTTCTGTAAAACAGTTGAAGTTACAGATGTAACAGTTGAAACTATTGATGGATCTGCTACTGTTGTCTCCTTTTCTGTCCTAAATAAAGTAAACAAAAAAATTTTTTTACTTATATTTTTATGGAAATAAATAATTACACAATTTCTGGTCATTATTATGAAATAATTACCAAAAATTGTATTGCTTTTTTATTTATATTTTTAGTAAAATCTGAAATTTTAATTGACCTCTGCGATATATTTTTATATTTATATTTCTTCGAGTGTTTTGCACGAGAGGATGTACTTCTTCCTCCTCCAAGATCTAGCGCTCGATCTGAGAGATAAGCTGGCAGTGATTTGATCATTTGATCAATGTCACCTTCATAATTATCATTTTTCAATCGCTCTCTGAACAAGTCTATAAAATAAAAAACAAGAGATAAATAATAATAAGAAAAAGATAGTATTTCTTTCATAACAATTGAATATTTACTTTGAGCTAGCATCAGGAATCCAAGTGGAAATTTTTTTAATCCTTCTTTTCTAGGATAAATCCTCATTAATTTAGCATCTTCGCCGAAAACTCCAATAAGAAGGGCTGCAGCCCAGTCGCAATCATTTTTTGCTGCTTTCATAGCTGCGAAACCTGCATTTGTGCAATAGAAACCACTGCCAAGATGAACCTGATAAAATAAAATAATTAGTTGCAAAATGTTTTATAA